ATTTCGAGTTTGTGGCAAGTTTTGCTGTAATTGTTGGAATATGTACAATAAGTATCAGATAGATATTTGTTAAGTTATTCAATCACACACACTTAATTCTCTCAATCATTGTGTCGTGTTAGGGATCCCCCAAATATCTATCTATCTATCTATCTATCTATCTATCTATCTATCTATCTATCTATCTATCTATCTATCTATTGATTGCGTTACCTTTGAATAAACCAATGTTATAGACATATTAAAATTGAAGAAGAAGAAGCTTTCAACAAAATAATTATAATGTTATTGGTGCGTTCTCAAGGTCCAACTTTTTGTCTTTGTGCATCAGAAATGAAGTAAGGAGAAAGCGAAACTATTCTTGCTCTTTTGCCAACTAATTTTTCAGACTGAAATTGGAGGAAGTGAAAAGACGAACTAGCGTCGACAATGGCGTTGAACACATTCGAAAGTACAACACCTGATAATAAGCCAAGTTGGCAGTCAGGTTTGCTGATCCCCCATTGATAGCTTCCGCATTCTTAAAAAAACGATATATCTTGTAAGGATAGATCGTTTTACGTCTTGTTTGTGGTCTCATTTTTATTCAACTAAGACAAATAAATGTGTATACAATATATAATGTTAAATTTCACATTAAATATTCATTAATGTTTCAACTTCGCACCTCGAAATTTAAATTTTTCGTTTCAAATTATTTAGGTAAAATTATTTGCTTAACTCATTTTACTCTTCGTTTCAAGGTTGCAAGATTGAGCTACTTTGAAATCTGGAAAACCTCCTTGTAGATCATTATTATTTAACTAAAGAAAAGTGGATATTATGTGGGAGTCAATCCTTTTTTATATTCATGTTATAATTAGAGCACTAGTTTTGCCATGGATTTCATACTCTAGAAAATGTACTTGTAGACAAGTTTACCAGAACAGACACCTTTTTAAGTCAAGCGTTACTAAAATTTGAATTCCGTTAATTTTTGGGATGCTCTTCATAAGCTGTGTTAAATATGAAGAGAGTCAAATCAAAATTTAATCGTGCTAGGTTTTTAAACATAGCACACATCGCTACATGTAGCCCAATTTAGTATTTGCAGCACGATCTAGCAACCTGAGCTATTGGCTTAAAAGACAACATAGTAAATGGAACTGTCAGCCCGATTTCGATATTCATACTGAGTCTGCTTGTGCCCACTTAACCTAAATACCTTTGGAGAAGACATGAATCCACATCCCTTTATTTTCTCCCATTGCTATAAACCTTGTCAATAATGTTTTGTCATAAAGCAGATTTTGATTCTCACGGTACCAGCTGTAGTATTATATTTTGTTAGTTGTAATGATTTTATCACAGGTTAATCATGATATAAGAAATAAAAAAACAACAGAAAAATTCCAAAAAGTTATCTTTTGTTCTGTTATCTTTGTTTGCTAATTCTGCTTTTGATCATATCAACAATCCACATGTAAAAAATAATTCAATTTGCTAATCTTCTATGAAGGGCAGTTAATCATATTAAGCAATTTAGTTCCTTTATGAAATTGCCAATTTAGGTGGTTCATGTTGTGTTATCAAACGCCACAATGACATCTGAAGTCTCTCAACGAACGTGGGCCACGAAAAAGTAACTATTTATACTACTAAATCGTGAACCTAGAATAGACAGATAGATCGACTGGGAAAGCGAGAGAGGGAGGGAGGGAGAGAGAGAGAGAGAGAGAGAGAGGGAGGAAGGCAGGAAAGAAGGGAAGAGAAGACAAATTAATTTTAGAACTTTAATATATGCAAATGTATCCTGATTTTTTATTATTACAATTATTATTTGTTTGCTTTTCATTTTATATAAAACATCTTATTACTGCACTGTTGTGATATTCTTTAGTGCCAGATATGAAGAAACATTTAAATATTGACGCACTCCATCGAACTTTCTTTTGTAAAAAAAAAACAACTAAATATTAACACGTCTAATGATGTCCTAATTTCATCTAAAAAATAAGATCTCTTAAAACTATTAGATCTGCTACTACTACGACGTTGACCAGGTGGAAATAAACAATAAAGACTGGATAAAGCAAAAATATCTACCTAATTAAGTTTGAACGATACATGATACTTAGCTTTCTTACCTTAATCAGTCGAGGGCTTTCCATGTTGGTCATATTCCAAAGGATAGAAACTGAAAGTTCAATTTTCGTCGGAAATATATTCTTTATATCAGTTATGGTATATAAAACGCCATGGAAAAATGAAAAATAAAGAAAAACACGTCGCCAGAATGGTAATGACACATATTACTTGCTAGATTTTTCGCTTTACATGAATCGAACAATTTGATCTCATGTACACAATTTAATATCTGCATTTTCAATGTTAGGATAATATGTTAGTATCAGCCTTGGAAGGGTGTTTAGAGAGTAAAAAAATTCACCGATGTTAAGCGCCGATATCCAAACAAAATGTTTCCTATTAAAAAACACTAACAAAACAAAAAAAAAAAAGTTCATTAAACAAAAATATTATAATATTTTGTATATTAAACAAATAAAATTCTTAATTCTTATTGATATTTAAAGAATTTTTCGAATGTGATTTGTTGTAATTTCTTAAATTATTGTATAAGATTAAAATTCAGTGCTTGTATCTAATGAAATCTTCCTTAATTTCTTACCTAGATGAAAAGAATGAAAATGTAAATAATATAATATATAAAACCCCCTTAAATTCATTATATATTTTTATATGCTATATTATTTATTTTTTCACTCTTTTTTTATATATATAATGATGATAGTTATTATATTGACGCAGATTAGATGATGACGATATAAATTTTGATTAAATTTCAATGTATTTGTCACTTATACTTCCCCCATTTATCTCTGCTCATTGTGCTTACACCTTGCATCTCCTTTTTCTTTCCCCCATTCCTCTCTTCAATAATGTGAATCCCCAGAAAAATTTGTCATGTAATTTAGACATTTATTTCCTTTTCTCTTGTGATTTATTTTTAAAATACTTTTTAACGAATTGTCTGGATAAATTTAAACCATTTTGTTATTTCCGTCAGATGAGGCAGATATTAAAATCTTATCTGTCGAAACAAAGTTATTACCAAATTCTTTGATGATGTGTTAAGTTTTTTTTTTCCTTCTTGGTGTATATCATATTGTTCTGTATATAAATACATTGAGCCCTCTTCATGGATCTATCTTTTTAATATTTTATATTGGATTATCCTTATCACTTACAGATTTGATATTTTACATATATATATACATATATATATATATATATATATATATATCACCGAACATCTTATAAATTGCAGGGATTGTGCAATAAATTTCAGTTCGGACTGGTTCTCTGTTCTGTCTAGTTCGCTCTCTCCTCCTTTTCATTTGAAGGCACCGGAGTCTCTGTACATTCGGTCCAGGAAGCCGTCTCTTTGTAAGCAAAGAGATTGTCTCCTTGGACTTCACATTATTAGACTCTAGTGTCTGTGAATCATACATTCCCCCCTCTCTCTCTCTCATTTTTCGCTGCGCAAATTCGCGTTGTTTTGATTTTAGTCTTCCCTCATACCATTAATCATTTCAGTTTTTAATGTTTTAATTGTATGTAGGGTGTTTGTGAGAGTAAATGTATCTTTGCAATAAATTATTTATCTGTTCCCAGTCGACCCTGATGAGCTTGGAAACGAAACCGGTTGCTCTGTCTTGTAAGTGTTTTCATTTCTTATTTTTTATTTTCATATTTCACAATGCGAATAAGAAAAAAAATTATTTCTTTTCCTTGTAATATTACGTTTTTGTACCTCTAACAATTTATTTAAATATATATATATATATATATATATATATATATATATATATATATATATATATATATATATATATATGAAGAAATATAGTTTTAAGGTGTGCTATATTTATGGGATAAAGTGCTCAATATCAGAGATAGAGCGCATTTAAATTTAAATATAAAAGTGAACATTGAAGTCAACACTCAATGGTGACAGGCTGTTTCATGCTGGACGCAATCGTCAGGCCGCCTGATTATTGAGCCCAGCATGAAACAGCCTGTCGCCTCTGAATGTTGATTTAAATTTTCACTTTTTATATATATATATATATATATATATATATATATATATATATATATATATATATATATATATGCATTGAGTGAGATTTATCATACCGTTTTTTTTAGTATAGAGAGCGAAATCGAATTTCAGTTGAAGCTGCCTGTATTCACTTAGTACTAATATGCTTAGAAAAGGCATGAATTCATTTCTCTCTATACTCTATTCTACCGTCAGAAAACATGACAAAATGTCTCGTCGCTAGCATGCCACGGTATATACGAGAAAGGAAAACTTGAGCAAAAAATTCCCCAAAATTACACACACACACACACACACACACACACACACACACACACACATATATATATATATATATATATATATAGACAGCATATCTTCATTCAAGCATGTTTGGTTGAATAATGTAGATATATTATTCCTATTTTATTTTATTCCCAAATTCACAGATCAATTTCTTAGTCCTTTTATAAAACTGAGTAAAAAAGACGCCGTTATTTCATTTATTTTCCCATGTACTTTCAATTTCATTCAAGAATCCAGGGTTGAATTGCTAAGACAAAAATTAGTGAAATTGATAGTTGTCGATTTTTTTTTGTTCACGTCAACGACATTCCCCAAAAGGCTTACTTTACACATGTTGGATTCAAGCACTATTGCACAAGATTTAAAAGAACATTCCTGTCCACATTCACGTTTTACAGGAATATTAATCGACAATACAAGTATACTTCACCATGAAAATAAAAAAACAAAAACTTCAAATTCTCGAAGCAATCTATATAAAGAAGTGAAACAAACACTTAATAAAATTAATCATGAGTATAGCAACAATGTTTTAAAATGTCAATAAAAACAAATGTTTTGGGATGCACAAATTGTAAAACAACAAATTTTGAAAAAAATGTTTTTGAAAAAATTGGAGGTTGAGTATTTTTAAAACATTAATAATAAAAAATTAAACTACTTTACCACCCTTGCATACCCTTAACGAAAATTGAATATAACGGTGTGTGTGCATGCGCATTTACAAAAAAATTGATCCGTGAATTTGAGAGAATTAAAATTGTTGAGGGGTTCTCCCCTTTTTACACAAATGAACTCACCCAGTATATACATATACTATTGTTACGTGAAGACCCGAGGGACGAGAGCAACCGAGTGTGAAGGCAACAGACAGACAGACAGAACGAACGTAGCGAGCAAGAGTCACCGTGAGCAAGCACATAGTCTCAGTAAGAAGTCATACAGCGATACCTCAATACCAAAGACTGTATATAGATATTTTGCTATTAACCCGTATTCCTGGAACTACTAACCTGCATTACCAGTTTGTATTATTACGTTAATACATTATTTTCCTATATTCATTCTTTGCGTTTGTTATTTATTGATACTGGATTTCATCCCGGAATCCACAACAAAAATAAAAATAAATAAACATATGTCAAGATTATTCGAAATATATATATATATATATATATATATATATATATATATATATATATATATATATATGTGTGTGTGTGTGTGTGTGTGTAAAAATATATAGAAAATAGGAAAGAACTCAGAAAGAACATGAGAACTCTTATGTAGCGTTGGAATCATTTTTTAAATAAATAATATATATATATATATATATATATATATATATATATATATATATATATATGTGTATGTGGGGACGAGTGTGTGCGTGTGAGTGCATGTGTGCAGGGTAGGGAAAGGAAAAATATAAAAAACTCAGCCATTTTAGTTGATCTTATTACTTTATAAGACATAATTCTTTTTTTCATATTTGCTCCGAACGAGTGTATTTACTTGCCTAAACCGTATCTATTAAGTAATTCTAATATGAAAAGAATTTTTATGTTGATGTTGATAATGACTTTTTTGACAGTATGTTGATGCTTACGAATGAAATACCTGTGATACAGCTATATCCAATTTTCAAAGGGAAAATACCCTTTGAATTAATTACGAGAAGAGCGTTGTTCCTGACAATATGCAATAGAGACATATGGAATAAATTAAGTTAATCTTTTTACTGGTTTAATAAAGTTGTTTAATTATAATAGGAAATGATATGGCTTTGTTGGGGCTAATATTACCACTTTTCTTCAGAAAAGGCGGTAACATTAGCCTCAATAGCTCACAAAAACAAACAGAAAATGCACAACGCCACTATCTATCTATTTATCTATCTATCTATCTAAATAGCCTGGCGTCAGTTTATTGTAACATCTTGATTTTAGAGTCCATATTTGAAATCGCGAAATATAAAATCAACCTTCCTGCTTCTCATAAATATTTTTTTTTTGTCAAAAATGTAATTTTTGGTAAACATTTGATATATATATATATATATATATATATATATATATATATATATATATATATATAATTATTTTTTATAAAAAAATTATAACATAAGTATGTTATAAAATCACTACAAAAATAGCCATTTTGTTTCAACACACTCTGTGTCTTATCAAGTGATGATGTTGAAAATAAAATAAATGGTTTTAAAAGTTTCAGATTAATTAACGATCCTACACTAGGGGGAAACATTGTTACAAAAGCTAGAATAACCAATCAAAAACGAAGTATAGAAGCTAGAATATATATATATATATGATTGTTTTATTACCTATTAAGCAGAGGAACATCTCCACCAGTCCAAGAAGAATTTTGGATCACTACAACAAGCAAATAACAATGGTTAAACATAAGAAAACATAAGGAAAAATTAATTCCTTTAAATAATGAGGAAATAACCATTCTTCGCCTGATGAATGTCACAAGACCCGAAATGCATATATCAAAAATATGGAAAATAAAGTATAAAAAGTGTAATATATATTTTAAAAAATTCATATTATAACCAAATACATTTGTGGCTTCTCGTTTCTCTTTAAAATATACACTTTTCTCTCGCTGTAACAACTATAATCCCTCCGTTATATATATATATATATATATATATATATATATATATATATATATATATATATATATATATACCGGGTGTAACAGCATGATTTCCCACCCCACAAACTTTTTAATATCTAAAAACCACTAAACTAAGTTTCCATTTTCCAGGCTTGTAGATAAGTCGTTTAACCATCTTGACACCATTTGTCGTAAGAATCACTGAAAAACCCTTTGAGTTATTCAGCTAGAAAGAGAACAGGTTAAAATCGTTTTGTATCAGTCCAAATGTCTTCCCAACTGAGCAAGTGTGAGAGGAAAAAAATCATTCGGGCCTTCAGTAATGGTAGTAACATTCATACTTTGTCTTCCATCTTCAAATCGATTCAATAACCATCCAGAGAACGGTGAATAAGCTTAAAAAGAGGGAACAGTAGAGTGGAAAACTGGACCAGGAGGTCACAACAGAAAGAGGGATCATCACTTCAACGAGTTAAAGAGATCAATTAGAAAAGATCCAACTCAGTCCATAAGACGTTTGGCATGTGAAAAAGAAGTTTCAGCTATGACAGTCCAAAGAATAGTGAAAAAAAGACTTGAAAATGAAATTGAACATGAAACGCGTGAGGCACCTTGTTACTCCAAGACAGAAAGTTATAAGGTTAGAGAGGACAAAGACTATCTTGAATAAGGACACTGATCTTGAAATAATATATATATATAAATAATATATATATATATATATATATATATATATATATATATATATAAATGATTAATGGTCATAGTTGAATCAGACCAGGAAATAGTAGTATTAAAACGTGCTCAGTACACGTGTAAAAAAAAAAAAAATGATTAAAATAACATGTAGAGCTTTTAACTACCAAATTATTTAACATGTGTGGAATTTAAAAGAAAAAAACAAGAGCTATCCGTTGATAAGGTGGAAAATTTAAATAAATTTAAACTATACAACAACCACAACCATATTTGCAACCTCTACCAGCAGGAAAAATTAGCGATTATGACATTTCCGGAAACTAAAAACCTTTTAAACCAAAAATCCGAATCTTAAGCCCTTGCTTACATATCAGAAAATTTTTCTTAAGTGAATATGAGGCTGAATAAAAAAATGTATTTATCCTCCCCCACTGATGCATTTACAATATATTTTCAATCTATAAAAGAATGTATTCGCATTCACGTCCAGTGAGATGGAACCCCTATATCGTTACCACAGAGGTCTATACATGGACATAATGCTAAATTCATAAGATTTAGCATGTTAAAAATGTTTCCAACCTACATACAAAGCGTGGTGGAAGAACAACTATACCCAGTTTTAAAAGAATTACAAAAAGGCAACATTACCAACCAAGAGGTCGTCCTTCATTTTCTGCAGCGCTGGTACGTTATGCTTTACTACTGCGCTATACGTCTCAACGGGCCTACAAATTACTTATGAAGAAATTTCCATTACCACCTTTTTCATCATTAGAAAAATAATAATAATAAACAAATGTTTTCAATGTGAAATGTGTTCCCTGGTCATGTTAGGCAATGATAGTGATGATGCTACAGAGAAACAATACTTTGATTTACTTTTTCTAGGAGGTCTTACTGTTCCATCTAGATCACGTGTTCTCAACCAGAGTCCACATGGGCCCTACGGGTTCAATGAAATATTTTAGGGGGTCTACAGGCAAAATATAACAAATTGGTGGCCGACAATGATATTTTGGTGGTCCATGAAGAAAGCCAACTTAGAATGGTTTTTATTATTAAAAATTAAATGTCTACTGTAATTTACACTATACTGAAATATATATATGAACGATTCTTTCTTTCTTTTATATAGGTACCTCCACTGAACTTTTGATACCTGAGGTTTAAAATTAATTTTAAAAAGTTGCTGATATTAATGCAAAGAAAATGTTATTCCACAAACAGTGGTGGCTCTTTTTAAAGAAGGTAAACTCTGAGCTTTATTGTCCGGAATATATCTGTTTTTGAAAATATGCGCTGTATTTACCGGTTAAAATTGAGCAACTTCAGTAACGTTTATTGAGCATGCATGGTAAATCTGAATTTACAGATAGATTTGTTTGTATCGTTGAAAGTTTATATCTTGAACATTTGTAAGTAAGGGAGTACTTGTATCTATCGTTGTGGGATAGGGTTAGAAGAACAACGTATAGGGTCTGTAATACACAATCCAGATTAATGTTTTCGCTTCATTCTCATATCTTAATTTCCCTCGACAGCCATATTCTAACCAGTGTAACATGTTCCATGTAATCAAACTTTGCAAACTCAGCAGCAGGCTCCACCTCTAGAAACGCTGTCAGTTTTTGACTAGACTATCTATCGTAAAAGGACTCGATAGAGTTTAAGATAAATATTAAAGAAACATAATTGATGATTGAGGTAATTGCATATTTTCAAGCTCAGGTCAAAGCTAGGTTTCTGAATACTAACTCTTCAGACAAGTGGATCGTCTACATTTAGAAGATTGGAAAAATGCAAACTCTAATCTACTTTTCATTTGGCTTTCAGTTTTCTGTGGTAAATATCAACAAAGAAAAGGTTGTGTATTATGTTTAATTAATTCAGTTTTTCAACATTAAACGTACGGTGGAGTAATGGTTAGCGTCACGGATTGAGGAATTGGAGAGCCGAGTTCGAATTCCAGTCGAATCCATTGCATTCACTTCGTGCTAATACCCTTGGGAAAGGTATGGATTCTTCTTTCCCCAGCAGGACACACCAGGTTCTATAGCCTTTGATGGCAACTGGTCTACTGCAGAAAGAAATGACAACCTACTGCGGGAAAAATCTGCCTCGTCTGTCATGTATCGAAAGATACATGATCACCTAAGCATGTATCACGCATGGCACTTAACTAACTGATGACTTGTACGACAGAAAGCCATTTGCTATGAAATATCAGTCATTGTTGAATGATCACAAATGCTATCGAGATAAATATTAAAAAAATATTATTTATAAAGATATTTACTAAGCCTAGCTACAGACAGCGAAAATCTAAATAGAGAAAAACTGAGGTAAGAAGATTGTATTAAGTCTGTCTCTCACGCGGAGAAGGCTTGTCTGAATTGAAAGTCAACAGTCAACATCCTGGGTTTTGTATGTGCTAATTTGCCACAATAAAATATACGCAAATATTTTATATATTAAACTTACTAAGCTTACTCATCAGGTGACGAGTATCGAGCACTCCGTAACGATCAAACTCACTAAAAAAGTAATGATCAGGAAAAATAAAGGCGGTCATTAAAAGCCTACTAGTAACATAACATTTATATTTATTTATTTATTTTTTTAATTCCAGAACAACGACAGGAAAATAATAGCCAGCTTTAAAAAAATCTCTTGAAAAATCTTTTGGATGGGATAGGTTTTTCAGGACAGAAACTAAATGTCAGAAATGTAAATCAGGCTTTTCATTAGCCAAAAGGGGATCCACCATTTTAACTAGCTAACCCAAAATCCCTATTCTCATGATTTCTCCTCCTATTTCACACAGTGCAAAACACGTTTCCACTTCTCCCCATCCCACAAAAATGTGTGAACCTTCACCTCATAAAAAACGTCCCATTATTAGCTCTCTTAGAATAACAGCAAGAGACATTAGTTTGGCGGGGAGAGAATGCAAGAGGTTAGACTTATACGACCAACAAAACTATTATAGCCTTCCCATGATACTTTGAAAGATAAAAACATTTTGCTTCGTACTGGCGTCCTGTAAAAATGATGAAAATAAAGGTGTTATGAAGTGGGTTTATATTGAACTGACCATCAACACTTGTGTAAAAGAAAGCAATTGTCCTGAATTTACCATCAACTAAATTGTCTAAAATAAGTAAATCTGTTAAAAATAGTGGGTGTATGCGGAAGTACAGCGCACGAAGTGCTATTCCCTTGGATAATTCATTTTATGTAGCCAGAATTTTTATATATAATTTTGCTTTTTTTATGAAGGCGCGTAAAGGGCAGATCCTAATCTAAACATTTCATCTCTTCGCCTAAGTCTACAGTTTCCAGTTACACTGCTTTTTCCTGTTTGTGTTCCTGTATCGGCACCTTTTCACTGGGTTATTTTACGATTAAAAAAGTTGTAGTGACGACGTTTCTCCGGGGATGGGGAGAGCAGGCAGGCAGGCAGGCAGGCAGGCAAGCATGACAGGAACTGGGGAAAGCTCGGAATTAAAAAATATTTTGTCTTAATTTCTAGGATAGTTATCATTATTTACGTTATTTACATTCAGACTAATATAACCCCACGCACCAGACGTTTTGCCCTTCGAGCTTCTTCAGGCAACTATCGATCCAGCTAACTTTTAGGGAAATTTGAATTGAAGCCTTTATTTAATCTACGGGGGCAGATTTTCTCATTTCGTTATCCATGACTCAGGATATCTTGTCTTGTTCTTTTTAGTGTCATTCAGTTATTGCTCGTCCTGTTTCCACTGAGTTTTTACTTCACGTGGGACAATAGCCTTACAGGAGTAAAACATTTCATTTATTTCAGGGGTTCCCAACCTGGGTCCATGTATTATTTGTGGAGGTCCACAAGCAAAATATAATAAATTGGGGGTCCATAATGATATTTTGGAGGTCCATGAAGAAAGCCAACTCATAATGGTTTTCATTATTAAAAACTAATTGTCTACTGTAATTTACACTATATTGAAATATATATATGAATGATTCTTTCTTTATTTCTTTTATATAAGTACTCCACTGAATTTTCGATACCTAAGGTGTTAAATTAATTTTATAAATGAAAAATCATTCTTGAAGATTTCATTTTAGCTTTAATTGAAAGCTAAATGATTAAAATTATTATTTCCGGTAAGTAAACATTCTGGAGTATATCACATAGAAAGTATATAGATTGTAATGTCAAATAATTGCTCAATTTTTAAAAATTTTCTTAAAATCGTCCATTTTCTTAATTTTAAGAAACAAATCTATCGATTTTTAAAATCTTCCAAAATTAAATTATATGCTTATGACATGTAATTTGAGTAATAGAAAATTTAAAGTTAAATTAATCTGATTTGAAAGAAATATTACTTATAGCATAAAAAACAAGTAACTTTGAAAACAACTGCTTGAAACTAAATATGGAGTATTTTACTTATCAGATATATTTGAAAAATTGAATTCACTTAATAAACAGCTCCAAGGAAAAGATTCTGATATCTAGTAAAAGTGCTATTGCTGATTTTATGAGGAAAATAAAGTTGTATAAGAATAATATCAGTTGTCGTGCATTTGAACAGTTTCCTTGTTTGGCCTCTGTTTGCAGCGATTTGCAAGATGAAGATCTTGCATTATATGATGAATATCTGGAAAATATGCATGAAGATATGCAAACTCGGTTTAGTGACATACTCGTGATGGATACACCGATTTAGGTTTCAATTCCTTTCGAAGTTAATGTTGCCGATATACACATGTCTTTGAAAGAGCTCCTCATCGAATTATAAAGTGATGGAATAATGCATGCAAAATTGTAAGATGAAAAATACAACATATGGAAAACAAATGATATTGCCACAAAGTACCCTTTGCTTTGGGATAAAGCACAGGTCTATGTTATTTCTTTTCCAACATCTTATCTTGTTGAATCGGGATTTAGTCGTGTTTCTCAACTGTTATCAAAAGTCCTCAGTAGACTTGTGAAAAGAGGTGATCGATTATCATTAACATCGATGGAACCAGATATAAATAAACTCGCTGAGCAGCATCAACCACAGGGATCTCATTGTGCAAATATGCCTTTCTTTTTTTTTCTAGTCACACACTTAACTTAAGTTATTAAAATTTTTAACCAATGTGCATAAATAAATGATGTAGTGAATTCAATTGCCTGGATAGCTCTGCTCCCCATTGTCAAGCCGGTTGGGAGCAGAGCTCTTCAGGCAATTTAATATAGTAATAATAATTTTCATTGACCAATATCTTGCATTACAATATTACAATGTTTCTGAAAGAAACATTGTAATATTGTAATCCAAAATATTGGTCAATAAAAATTATTATTACTATCATTATTATTTTTATTATTATTATTATTGTTGTTGTTGTTGAATAATTTATTTGCATTAAATTAGTTCTCATTTAAAAATAAAGCATAATTATATAATATTTCTTTGATTATTAAAACCTCAAAATTTTTATTAGTTAAAAACAGGATATTGTTGTCTTATGTCAATTAGGTAATGAGGGGTCCACCAAGAAAAAAAAAAAGGGAAAAGGGATCCATGTGTAAAAAAAGGTTGAGAACCATTGGACTATTTGGTGACAGAATAATTGCGAGGACCGTTAAAGCAAGTTACATATATTTTTCTCTCTGTGTACATATGAAATGAGTACATGCACAAAAACAGAATGGGTCGCCAGACAATGATGTGTCTTCTCACCAGATTTATTTAACCTATATTGCAATCCTAAAAGAACGAAAAGTTTTACAAGGGCTATTATTAGTGAGCACAATCTTAGCAGATGATACAGTCTTGATGGCAGACGTATAAAGAAAACTGCAGAAACTCTCAGGCAAGTTAGTAAAGGAAAGCAGGAAGAAAGGATAAATATAAATTGTAAAAAAAACCCAGAATGTATGGTTGTTAGCAAGAGTAACAGCCCAATATGTGAACTACCAATTGAAGATGTCGAAATCGAGCAAGTACAGAGATTTAACTATCTAGGAAGTGTTTTAATAGAGGACGACAAATGTGACATCGAAATCCGAAGGTGCATTGAAATAGTGATATTTGCCATCCAAAAGATAAACAAAGTATTAAGACACAGAAAAAATTAATTAGAAAAAAAAAGAACTGCTGTGTAATATCAGCCCTCCTGTAAGTCAGGGAAAGTTGGACAATTTCTTCACGGACTTGATTCTACAGAAGGATGTTGAGAGTCCCATGGAAGCCGCATGTGAACAAAGATGAAATTTTAAGGAAAATGGAAAGAAAAAGAACACATACACAAGGGACACAAAAGAAGGCTTGGATATGTGACACTCACAGGACATATTGAAGGCTAGAGATAAAACAGCGAGTAACAGGCCTAATAAATTTGGGTAACTGGATGACAGTGACTGGGAGGGTTAGTAAGGGGAAAAGCATTGTTTAGTGCTACAAAAGAAAGGAATTAGGAGGGCCATAGTCACCCACATCATGAAGAGACATGGTGCAAAAAAGTATACACACACACACACACACACACACACATATATATATATATATATATATATATATATATATATATACGCGTACTAAGAGAGAGAGGGAGAGAGACTGAGGGAGAGAGAGAGAGAGAGTGAAAGACTGAGAGAAATATATTAAAGTGGGTATACCTGTAGACAAGAGTATTCCTCACTCTCTCTCTATATATATATGGGAGAGAGAGAGAGAGAGAAACATATAGGATCAGACAAAAATTTAAAAAACAATATATTAAAACGTTGAGATCAGTGTTTCATTCTTTAGTTCTACCACTTCAGGCTTTTATAGTTAGAACATCTCATCTATGTTTACAGAGTCAAATAACCTACATTTCCTCCGTATTGCAAGGACGTATAAGGACATAGTTTCATTCGGATACCTTTTTTCCCCGAAAACTCCTACTTTGTGGAAGTAAACTCTTACGTAGATGCTTCCATGAACATTACTAATTTTGCCGCTTCAATTCAATGGTCAATCGTTATCTATCCTCTTTATCCTCATAATCTTTACTTCCTTCAATCTGCTCTTATATTTATATCACACAACTCATTCAGTAATCTTCTATTCTGAGTGGCTCTTGAACTTTGTATCGGGGGGAGTTTTAATAAAATATATACAACATACATTCCCTAAGAATGTTTTTTGTATCTCATTATTAACCATTTCAAAGTTACTCAAGCTATTCTATTCTCAAGCGAGTAATGGGGAGGTACTGGCTGAATGATAGAATATCTATGCCTAGACTAATCGTTTGGCAACATTGAGAGTCCAATTCAACAAAGACATATTGGAATTATTGCGAAAGTCTCAGTATCAGTTTCAATGTAAAACTTGATTCTCTTGTGCTTTATAAGTTGCGACAGCTTGTCGCCTATAGCATAACTCTTGTGGGTCATGTGAGGATCGAACTCACTAGTTTGACAACCATCGTTCTATCTATCTATTCTTATCTAATTTACTTAACTTACCAGGGAAGTATATCTATTGCCGATTGTTCATATTTTTCACTTCATATTGATCATGCTATTTTTAAGTATGAGCGCGCATGACGAATTCAGTGTTCGAGGATAAGATTTCTCTTCTTTGTTACTCCTTATTCCTTATAACGTTGGGATGAAAGCAATAGAGAAGAGATGGTGGAGAATAGCTGTTGGAACATTTACAATACCATGCAGTTGTCAGTGGCTAATGTTGCTTTATACTTGAATTATTTTAATGGTGTGTACGGTATCAACATTATTTACCTCCTATATATCTCTATTACAGAATAGACTACTGTTTTGAATAAGAGATGAATGGAAACAATGCTATAATTAATAAATTAACATTAACTTATTACTCAGTTTTTTCACATACTCTTTCCCGTTTCCCCTCTTTAACCTTTCCTCTGACCCTCTCTCTTTTCCTTCTTTTCCTCTCTTTCCTTCATTTCCTTTCTCTTCAACTCTCCACATTCAGCAGAGTCAAACCATCTTGCGACCTTGACGTCCGTGTGGACATCCCATAGCCGTGAAAACATCATGTGTCGTATTTTTCCTCGTAAGATGACAAAAACTTGAATAGAGGATGAAACCAACAGTGAATTGTAATCAGTTTATGCTGAATATGCCATGAATTCACTAATATTTCGCTGTAGTCACATTAATGTATTGAAGAGGATGTAAATGAACATTGAAATATTAAAATTTGATCCAATATGGATTATTTACAAGACTTTTGTGTATTTACATAGATATATGTTTGTGCTGCATGCAGAGGCACGCACATACACATGTATATACTTCGAAATTAAGAACGTTATTATCTATGATTCCTATTCTCTCATGACTGATAAAACATAAAGCTTTACACTGCGATTATTATGTATTCATTTATGCTGTCTTTCATGACTTCAATGTTGAAAGATCACTTTAAGAACACTGGCGTTGGGACATGTGAATAGAAATATGGCGTTCATATTTTTTAGTTGCCTACTAATTAACTTAACTCCCCAATTAGTCCACATTTTGAACCAATTCCTTCTTCTATATCTATCTATCTATCTATCTATCTATCTATCTATCTATCTATCTATCTATCTATCTATCTGTTCATATATTTCTCTCGTTCTCTCATTCTTTCACTCTCTCTGCATCTACCTAAGTCTGTTTCTGTCTATTGAGTTAGCTAACTCGATATATACTTCGATCTATTTGATTCAGAAATGTATGCGTATAGCTTTTATGTATATAATCCTCGGAATTGTACAAAATAACAAGATTCCTAGGATTTAACACCAGTTTTAATACTATTGTAGTGAATTTCGTGCTATATTTGGGTTTAGCCTCTAGCATTTGTTATTATTTTATAAAGGAAACTGCAATGTTTTAAAATGAGGCAAGGAATTAATTGAAACGAAGCAAAATAATTCAATAATAAAAATATAAACTGAAGTTGATCAGAAAGATAAAAAGGTCGACCGTAAATTAAAATCCCAATATAATTTCTGAAAATAAATGAACAGATTGGAAAACAAATTTTTCTCCTTTTCTCATTCTTTCTCAGTCTTCTCTCTCTGTGAACCCTTCTCATCTCTCAACTTACTTCATCTAGCTCCCTCCATTCTTTCTACCTTTCCCCTTTCTTTCTCTATTTCCTTTCTTTGTTCAGGCAGTATAAACAGTAAAACATTTAAGGTTTGGTCCAGACATGCTTTTTGACATCAGCAGTGCGATAGGCATTTTAAAATCACGTTAAAGCCTGGCTAAAAATAAAAACGTTATTTAAACAGGTATCTAACAACTCCGAAAACACATTAAAAGCTATATCAAATGATCATTGCAGAGTATGTCGTACATTCTACAAGTTTTACTGATTCATTGAAGTGAATTATCTCGAAGTTGTAGAAGCAAAGATCAGATATGGATGAATTTTAGACTTTCCCGTAATGATGATACTTTATTTCAAAAGTTCATTTAACGCTTTCTTTTATATATATATATATATATATATATATATATATATATATATATATATATATATATATATATATATAGAGAGAGAGAGAGAGAGAGAGAGAGAGAGAGAGAGAGAGAGAGAGAGAGAGAGAGAGAAAGGGTGAGAGAGAGAAAGAAAGAGAGAGAGAGAAAGAAAGAGAGAGAGGAAGTGAAAAGAGAGAGATAAAGCGAAAGGAAGGAAATAGAGAAAGAAAAACTGCGGTACATGAGCTTATGTTTCTCCCTTTTTATCACATCGGTAGTTACTTCCTTGCAAAATTATTTTTTCTCTGACCTTATATATATATATATATATATATATATGTGTGTGTGTGTGTGTGTGTGTGTTAGTGTATATGTGCGTGTGTATGTATAAATCTAAACAGAACAAAGCACGTACAAGTTTGGGCTTATTCTGTATGCGTATACATTTATATATTTGTATGTAAACTCATATATTTAAATGTAGATAGTTTGAGGACTATCTTGCACTAACCTTCCAAGAGAAACACGTCAAAAGTAAAAGCAAAAATTCCGTTATAGTATCGTTTTTAAACTGAAAGGCAAGATCATGTAACCATATCAAAGGTTGAGAGGCGAGTGAAAAGTACTGAGAGCATCTCTGAGTTTTGCAAATTCATTGAAGTGAAATATCTCGAAATTTTAGAAGCAAAGAACCGATATGGATGTGCCTTAGTTTTCTATGGTGCAACTTTATTTGTCGTTTTCTTTCTTATTTTAAAAACCTATCGCTTATTTCAAACACTATAAAATAATACTAAAACTTAATAGAAACTACTAGCGCGATACAATTGTACATAGCTTTTTAGATAAATTCATTTACAGCTATTTGTAATATGTAAGAACTTTATTATTAATCTTGCATATCAAGGAGAGAGGACAAATTTTACATAGTGTTTTCAGCAAGACACATTAAAAACAATCATTTGATGCGGCATGCACCTGAGGAAGATCAAAAATTTGTCGAAACTTAAAAAAAAAAAAAAATATTATTAATATATGAAATAATGGAAAATTTTCATCTTATAAGCTATGATAGGACAACCAAAATATATACAAGGCAAAATATTGGATTAAAAACAATAAAAATGAAGTTAACGCTTTTCAGAGAAAAAATTGAACCAACGTTCCAAGAATTTTCTACATTCTTCATCCATAGGCATTAAAAAATGATAAAAGTTTTGGTATGATACATGACCTTTATGCAAGTATATATATATATATATATATATATATATATATATATATATATATATATATATATATGCACAGACAAGTTTGATTAAAAAGAACAAGGTCTGTCTGTTTAATTTTTCCAATTTTCTTTGAATAATGATAATTCACAACTTCGAACACAATACTCAACACTTTATTTGAAAATTGTAAAAATATAATAAAAAATAAAACAGACAGACCTGATCAGTTCTTTTTAATTTAACTAGGATGAAAACTTGCTGCTTGAATACGCACACCATACATACATACATACACACACACACACACACACACACATATATATATATATATATATATATATATATATATATATATATTGTCAAACCTAGTGAGCCAGACAAACCTACCCAGGTTTCACATAAGCGGATCGTAAAGGGAAAGCTGGTTTTCGAGACGAGTATAGTTATATATATATATATATATATATATATATATATATATATATATATATATATATATATATGTGTGTGTGTGTATGAAGAAATATAGTCTTAAGATGTGCTATATTTATGGGATAAAGTGCTCAGTATCAGAGATAGGGTGTGTGTAAATATAAAAGTGAACATAGAAGTCAACACTTAGAGGCGACAATCTGTTTCATTATATATATATATATATATATATATAAATACAAATGTTTATATATATATATTTACATATTTATATATATATATGTAAATGTGTACATCCATCTGCTACGGTGCCTAGCTAATCCTTGGTGCAGACATCCGTTCAGGTACATTTGATAAATCAATTTCGAGCTGACCTTCGCTGACGCTTTAATCATTCAGTCACGTGCCCCTTCACACTCACACATATACATACATACGATTACTTTCCGGATAGTATCCAGCAATTTCATAGTCTACTTAGAGCAATGACGTTCTAGCCACTTCAAAGTATTCCCCCCTTGGGACTTCACAAATTTCCCAAGTACGATTAAATACTTACTGGTGACTTGATTGCAAGCCATTTATTTATTTATAAACAATTATTATAAACATTATTTATAAACATATATTGGTCTGGCTTAAGATAAACATAACGAGGCACCTGTGAGGAGCGAAGTTATGATAGTGGTGAACTGCTTCTCAAAATCAGCTTGCTGACCATCGTACCACAGCGAGAAATCAAGGTAACTAGGAATATTCTTTTATCTCCTGCGTCTGATACACTGGCGAAATCTCTTTAACTTTCCACCTACATTTTTATTTTCGTTCGGATAATCCGAGAACTCTACAGAGACTGCAATATTCGGCATTCCTACAATCTTTCCTTGCTACCCCCACCCAGCAAAAGGTCTGGTAAATATATCTGCCACCCGAACCAAATTTCAGCAATATCTCTTTCAAGATATCTTCACAGAGGCGTTAGCGAAAGTATTCGACATCTCCACGGCAACTGTGTTTATAACGTCTATCATTATATTGGTTATCGCCATGCCAAAGCGGAATACACAGTGCAAGCATAGTGTACAAACATCTGTTCTCAATATTTTCAGGGCTTACGTGTCAGCACTTCGCGTGAAAACGTGAAATTCCGCGAATATCGGTACTCTCTCCCAAATAACCCAATTTAACCATCACATTTAAGAAAACAATGTTTAAATGTGTTTAAAAGCGTTTCAATTTCACTATTATATTTTATTTATTGCCTATTCCAGGGTACTCACCCGGGTATTCAATCGTTTTCCCTCTGTGTACGAGAGCTTTTCTTTATATTTACCTAGACTCTACGGTTTCTCCTTCAGTGTCAATATTTGGGCTTTTGCGTTACTAGATACCTTTCGTTTAGAGCCCATGAGTATTACGCGAACTGAGTAATAACAATAATATAATTCCAGTAATTTACGAACAGGCAACGCCATATGCCGATGCACAACACAATCAGAAAGAAAGATTCCAAACCTCTTTATTCAGGTGAAATTTACTACCTCATTGAAGACGTGCGTGTAAGGTCATCCGGGAGCTCACCTTTTTAACAAAATTCTAGCTCGGTTTCCTGATTGCCTTTTTCGCGCTATTATGTTAACTGGTCGAATTTGTTAAGACATATATATATATATATATATATATATATATATATATATATATATATATATATATATGACAGGCTTAGCTAAATGTGTCACAAGTCTCCAGGAGTACTGCTTATCTAGGTTTGGATATAAATTCACAAGTACGAAGTTCTGTCCTGCTAGGTTAGGTTGTCAATCATTACCCAAAATTGCTGTCGTATGAGTACAATAGTTATCGTTTAGCATCTTTGTTACCAGAAACAACACTTGTCGCGCATGTCGTCATTCAATAATAAACATATACAGTAGCGGCCATAATATAAGGAAAGGAAACAACAAAGACATAAATATGTGTATTACTTAAAAAGTAATGCATGATTAGCAATGAAATTTTTACCGAATAAAGATTAGGATGTAATGCATAAATATTATACAAAGTTACAAAAATTTACGTAATAGTTTATTTTGGTTATTTTGGCAGGAGTGGTTTGTATATTTATTTTGATTAATTATTTTGGTTGCTTTTTTTAAATTTATTTATTTTTATTTGATATATTTATTTATAGTTTTCGGTTTTCGATGTTTTAGTAACGTAGGAAAATTTTTTAAAGATTAGTTTTGATTGTTTATTTAATAGTTTGTTTTGGTCTGGGTAATTAAAGCTATTTTTCGTCCGATTTTTGGATTGATTGTTGCAGTTTATTCTAACGGCGGGAGTTAATTTGTTTATTATTTACTTTATTTATTTATTTGGATTGATTATTTTTACTTGTTTTTTCTTATTTATTTTTTATTTATTTTTTTTCGTCTATTCTAACGGTTATTATGGCGGGGGTGGTTTGTTAATTTGTTTATCATTTGCTTGGGTTAATTTATTTTAAATGTTTTTATTTTGTTTATTTTTATTCATTCTTTTCCGTTTTCGATTTTTATGTTACGTAGTAAAAATTTATTTTCATGTCTGCATGTTGAGATGAGTTCAGATTGTTTATTTAGTAGTTTCTTCTGGTCTGGAAAGGTAATAATAGCTATTTTTTCCTCCAAGCAAAGTTTGCAGGTATTGGATTGTTTGTTGTAGGCCCGATATTCTTTTCTTTATTTTCCATGACATTTTTGGCGTGATTTGCGTTTTGTTTTTAATTTCCCAGATATACTTAGAAAGCATTGTGCTATTCGCGTATTTACTATTTGTGAAAGATGTTCTGTGTGCATAGTTCCTTTGTTTCACGAGTCCTTAAGTTACTCCTATGTATATTTTTTCTTTATTATCCGGTTTATTTTACCGTGGCTTTGTATATTACGTTGTTTTGTAAACAACTACTGTTTAAGGGACATTCATTCTTTATTCTGCAGTTACACGTGGGTTTAGTTTGTTCGGGTGGTTTGTTGATAGTTTTTCTGTTGTGCTTTTTTATTATTTGCGTCATGTTCTCGGTGCAATTGTAGCTGA